ACTCCGTACCGAGTCAAACTACCTCATCTAAATTGAAATGGCGAGAGTACTACTTTCTCCTAAAGTCACTATTTTTTTTGAGTAAGTTCAAGTCACTATCTCTTTTGACCTCAATGTTAGAAGGAACTTAAAAGGAGATCATTATATTAGTATTTGGTGGTGGATTTAACTTACATACACGGACATCGTAAATAATTCTACAATATCAGTATATCTTACCCTTTGACTTAGGATTAGTCAGTTCTATTTCTCGATGGGGCGGGGAAGGGATATAACTCAGCGGTAACATTTACCTATATTTATAGGTCATCTTAACTTCTTTTTTTTGAATAACCATGGTATCCGGGCCAGCTTACGCGCACCTCGACTAATTCCACATGATACCTGCCACCTCCCACAAGCAACAGGTACCAGGTAACTCTATCCACCAAGGCTTGGACAGATGGGAAGAAATCACCTAGTGTTTTTTGCCTCCGCCGGGATTTGAACCTGAGACCTCATGGTTATCACCCACCTCATGCCGTAAAATATTGTACAATGAGTGCACATAATAATTGTTTGTCGCAAAACTATCCAATCATGTCCTTTCATTAAGGGCTAACTCCTCAAACCAACACACACAGCAAATAAAAAACTAAGCACTCACAGATAAGAACAGCTATGCTCATAACAAAATTGAAGGCAATTACATACACTAATAACAAGAGCTATGCTACAAAACCTACCGTGAGTCCGTGTGACTGCTGAATTAACCCAAATGCAGAAGGGAAGTGAATGATATTTACATGTACTATCTCCAAAATAAGTGGCAGAAACGAAAGGGGTTGGAATTGACCTCCTAATACTTGTGGTGGGGTTGGAATTAACCTCCTAATACTTGTGGTGCGGCTACTGGTGCTCATCACCAGTTTCTTGCTTCCTCAAGAAAGACCGGTTGGTGTACACACTACTTTCATATCCACTGCTATCACCCGATTCAATTACACGCTTGTCCATTACCCTCTCTTTCACGCCATCACGATATAAACGACCATGTTCCCTCGAAGCTCGTCGCTCCTGTATCAATTCAACAGCTATTCAGAGGAAGTGAAAATGAAATATCAACTACCAATATTGATTGGAAACTGATGCGATGATCCATGTACTAGTTAACACAGGCACTATGCAAAAAAAATTAACAAGTGTTGGTCCATAATGTACTAAAACAGACATCACATAAAACAGATTTAAAACAGTCCATGTGATTGGTACTAGAATACGGAAGGAGGTTCATTAATGTGATTTGATTTGTGGTACCAAGCATAATTCTTGCAAAATATAATGCAATGTCCAGCATTGAATGCTTGTTTAGAGGCATTATTCTGTAGTAGACTTCATTTTAGTTACCAAAAATGGCATTCTTAGCTGTTGACTCTCGTGCTCATGAAAACGTGACATTTAATTTAAGGGTGTGAAGGAAAACTACAGCTTACATCACGGAAGGGAAAATCATCAGCTTCAAGCATGTGTATAACATGTCCCATCTTTGGCCTCTTCTGAGCATTGGGGTCGACACAGCGTAATGCTACCAAAAGGACACGTTTCAGTGCTCTTGAAGAAGGCTTCTCCGCCAACTTGGGATCCAAAACACCCTCCGCATTCCGGTTTGAAACCATTATTTTAAGCCAATCAACCAGAGTTACCTGTGAGTCAGATCCATTAAACAGAGTCAGAATAAAACTGGAACAAATATTAAAGAGGTTTCCTGAAACAAGAAACTAACATTAATGATATGAGACAAACCTCTCCAGGAGGACGGCTGTAATCCACCGGATTCCTTCCACTAATGATCTCCATAATAAGAATTCCAAAACTATACACATCACTTCTCTCATTCAACATGCCAGTGCTAGCATATTCCGGAGCAACGTAACTGATAAAAAAGGGGCCATTGGCAATTTATTTTCCATGAGTAACTTAACATTAGCAACAAAACAGTGTAGTTTGGAATGTCAAGCACTAACCCAAATGTTCCCATAACCCGAGTAGTAATGTAGCTCTTTTCAGCGCCCAAAAGCTTAGCTAAGCCAAAGTCTGACACTTTTGGATTCCATTGCTTATCGAGCAAAATATTGCTTGATTTAATGTCACGGTGAACAACCTTGGGTTCGAGGCCCTCATGCAGATAGGTTAACCTGTAAGCCTCACCAATCTTTAGGTACTCCTTTTAACACAATACAGAAAAACAATTAATACTCAAGAACAAGAAATAACAAAAACATTAGCTGTTGTATACCCTTTAGCTGTTCCAAGAATGATATTCATTCTAATTTCCCATGTAAGAGGACTGCACGGCCCTACATCTCCATGGATCCACTGTTCTAAGTTCCCATTGTCCACATACTCATACACAAGCATCCTAAGAATAGCAAATTGACATATTGAGTAATCTCATCTCAAGCTCAAAACCGAAGTCAGTTGATAGGTCAAAATCACCTTAAAGACAACCACCATATAATGCTATAACAGACTAAATTAAGCTGCAGATAACTGGAATTCAAATTACCTGTGAGCTCCCTCAGCACAATAACCGAGTAGCCTCACCAAATTCTTATGCCGAACTCGACCAATTGCTTCAACCTCAACCTTAAACTCCCTCTCTGCTTGTCCCCTGAAAAGAAAACCACATACATCAAAACCTAAAGACAGAGCAAAAGGAACAGTTTTTCCACAAACTAGTACTAGAGTTTAATTACCCATAAAACTACAGCTATTATTTTAGTAATTAAGACCCAGAAACCATAAAGATACATCATTTCACACATTTATGCCACATTAGCATGATAGAGCATACACTTAATCTTAAGCATAAATAACAGGCAACTACACATGCAAGGCCAAGAATTATAAACATATTTGGACAATATGCAACAAAAAGGAAAGAACTTTGAAAAGTGCACCTGTTATTGAGCAAATTCTTAACAGCAACACTACTTTTATCTCCCATAACTCCACGGTAAACAATTCCATAACCACCTTCACCAATCACATTTTCATCGGCAAAGAAATTAGTTGCAATCTCAAGCTCTCTCAGTGTATACCAATGACCCCACCCCAAATGTGAAACCTCAGGCACAGCAATAATAGCCTGCTCAACCGAACGTACTTCCCCACTACCATGACTTGACCCGCCACCTAACCCGACCCGCTCCGGATAGGCAATCTTATGACCCTTTCCGATCTCAATATGGATTCTCTGATGACCACTTGAATTCTGTGTTTCTTCCTCGGGTTCGGGTAATGGGTCCGGAACCGGAGCTGGAAGTAATTTCGGGTTTTCGGGTAGAGTCCGTGATGGGTCGATTCGGATTTCTTGAATTTCTTTGGATACCTTAGGAATATTGGGGTTTTTGTTTTTGTTTTTGTTTTTCTTAGCTGAAACTGAAAGAGTAGTTTTTTTATTGTTACGTTTTGTAGTGAACCAGAGAGAGATAAGGAAGAGAACTAACACAATTGCAGCTCCAACGCAAATACCCAAAACGACCCATAAACGTAGACCAAAGATTGAGGTTCTTTTTGAGAGTTCATTGTTCAGAAACCCAGACATCTTCTCTTTTTTCTTTCCCCTCCTACTGAGGAGAATTGGAGTTAACTAATATTAGAAGACATTAACAAAGAAGAGACCCGTTGTAGGAGAAAGACAAAGAAGCATATTAGTAGTAATATTGTAATAATAGTATATGGTGGTGAAATAATGCATGTGGCACTATGGTGGGGACTATGGATTCTAGTGTTTAATACTAACAGTGGCTTGTTAGAGAGGGAGATCATATTTGGAGCTAAGTTGAGAGGTATTTCTTTCTTCGAGTGTTGGGACCATTTGGGGATGGGGGAAGCTGTAATGATGGGACTTCTAGAAATGGAGAAATTGCCCCCACTCGTGTTTGATTATCTTACTTTATTGTGACATTCGTAAGAAACGTGTACCTCTATATACGTATGAAAATATTTATGGACGTAACCATATAGTCTAGTTGGTGGCATTTATTTATTGATTTTTATTGAAGGGTATGATGAGCTTTATCAAATTTACAGCCCATTACAAATAATTTGGTGACCCTTTACACAGAAAATCAAATTGAAGATTAGTAGATTTGCAGAGTTATTTTTTTCTATTTGAATTATAACGAATCATATGAGATCATTTCCTCCGGTATTGATTTAATTTTTGTTTTTATACTTTTTATTGGATTGTTTGGTTAGATAAGGGTCATCAAGAATTTCGCTTAAAAATTGTTGGTGGATTACTTTAGCTTCATTTTAATTGAGCTTGATACCCAATGCATCCCCACACCCTTTTCTCCGTTTATTTTTTTTCTTCCTTTTGATAATAATTGTGTCACTTTTAGTTTCTTTTTTGTTAATTAAGAGTTAAGATATGATTAAAGAAGAATGTCGTGGAGTTGGTGATCTAGTTAGTTCACCGTATTTCCTTTTCTGATATTTGGAGTTCCTTCTTAATTTCATTATTGTTAGTGGACCTTTATTAACTTTATTCTTGTTTTTTTATAGTACTTAAAGATGCTAAAATCGCTGCTTATATTGGAAAAAAATTTAAATGTTGTAGTGGATTCCATTAGGAGAAAAGTTCAAAAAGGGAAATAGACCTTACTATAAAAGAGTCTATACCTCGTTTCAGTCCTTACAATTGCATGTAGTCTGTGAACAGTAATACATTGACACTAATAATGACATGTCCGTCACAGTGAAACTTTCACTGTGAAAGTGGTACCCTCACTGTAAAGTGTAAACATAACTCATTCGACTCCATCTGCTGAGTGGTCACAAAGGCAATTCATAATTACATTTTATAAAGAGAATAAAGCAGAATATCTGTACTGCACTGTAATTTGCGAAGGTACATTTTTAGATTCAACTAAACGTTGTCCGGATTGTATACTTAAAAAAACTTTGGATAACAAGCATCCTGCATTTGAGATTCTGAAATTGCAAAGAAATAGCAGGCATTTAAAACAGTAGTATATCTTCATTTTCTAGTATGATAGTGGAAGAACTTGAAACGTCCAACACTACAAGCATCTAAAAAGCTTGAAAGGTTATTTTGTCAACAACTAGTTATCTTGTCAAATTCAAGTTTCAGCAGTTGCAAAAGCACAGTTCCGTTTATGCTCATTGAGCACAACAATTAAGGATATCTCAGCGACCATTAGGCAAATATTTTAACTTAATGAGATGTAAAAACAATTGGAGTTTCACAGTATCACCAGTTAATTCCATCTACACCAACTCATCGAGTACTTGATCTTTATAGATTTTGGTTAAGAAGACACCCCTGAAGAGGAATTGTTTCCGGAGCAACTCATATCTAAATGCAATCTTGATAGTGTATCGCCCCGGCATATGTCCTGAATATACAAATAAAAATTGCTTTAGCTTTTGACTTACAGGATCTGAATGAAATACTGCAGGCTGCTTACCTTAGAAGATGCTAAATGGTTAAGAAGTCCATAATGATTCTGAATCGTAGTTTCTAAAGCTAGTGAGTTTTCTGCATTATTTGACGTTATTGTTGGTTTGCCTGATAGATTCTGATTGGAAATTGCAAATGCAGTCTGCGGCACTTCTCGATTCCCAGGAAGTGTGGCTCCTCCATTTGCACTCAGCATAAAACTTCTCCCATCAAATTCATTACCAGATGGAAGTTGCACTGACTGCAAAGACCCAGGGACATATCCCGGGTATAAACTCAATCCGTTCCTCAAGGTAAGCATCTGAAAAGTCAAAGAGAGGAGACAAACAAAGGTTCTATTATGCAGTTTTTAAAGAGATATAATGACAGGTATGATATAGTAATAGTGACTTCATTGTAATCAGCATGCGGTTAGACCTCGGAAAGTCACTTGATGATACTAGTCATAACTTGCGACTTCATTGTCATCACCATCAAATATCAGCGGACCCAGAAAGAAAGTTTAAACATTTGATCTTTGAGATTGATGGCACAATGAGGAGTATTCTTTTTGAGTTTTAAAGAACTACTATACTTCTTATGTACTAGTACTTTTTATTTGCTAGATTAAATCTTCGTATGTTGTTGACCACATATAAGTTATATCGGTGAACTATTTTCCTTTACTCGGCAAGCTATATGGAAGTAAAAGTAATTAAAAGATCTTTTGCACCTCTCAATTTCTAGAGCCACAATATATGCAAACACCTCATGTTCATCGCAAGTGCCCCTGTCTACTAACTGGTGAAAAACGCCAAAGGATTTGATAATTATACCAAAAGATTACCATTTTCATAAATCAATCATAATAGGAAGAGCTAACACTTCAAATTAGCACGAGTACACCAGGAAACTTGCATCCATTCATATTTCAGGAGGTTTCGTAACTGAAATCATCCATTCAGCAAAAGGTTTAGTAATTCATACTCCCTCCGTTCCAGTTTTTGTGAACCTATTTCCTTTTTGGTCCGTTCCAAAAAGAATGAACCCTTTCTAAATTTGGAAACAATTTAGCTTAAACTTACAATTCTACCCTTAATGAGAAGCTTTTATAACCACACAAATACTCTGGGCCCCTTTTTGACTTGTTTAGGACCACAAATTACAAAAGTATTCATTTTTTCTTAAACTCCGTGCCCAGTCAAACAGGTTCACATAAATTGAAACAGAGGGAGTATTATACGGGGGAGTCTGAAAGAAACCACAATATGGATAAGACAACAAGATAATTTCATAAATGTCTAGATTTCAAGGATGGGGCATATCGCGCTGCCCAACCACATCTTCTTCTCCATTTTTACCCTATGTTATATCTTACTTCCATTGGTGAATGTTCTATATATGGAAGCCCTCAATGGAACAAGAAAGATGCACCTTGAGCCTTCACGGCCTCACCATTTATTTCTTGGGTTTTTCCTACCCTAGGGATGAAAATGTTGAAGCGAAACCAATGCTTATTGCAAGATAGAGAACTGACAAATAGCATGAGCCTCAATAAAAAGCAATTAAATATGGATCCATTCTAGCTAAAGGAGTGACAAGAAACTAGTGAACTTAGAGGTGAAACGTCAACAGACCTGTCGAACTATATACAAAACAATTCTTAAATATAACATAGGTTTTTCTTCATTTTCACTTCTTAATTCAATCCCTTTTCCTCTAACCTACTTTAAGTCATGATACTCCCAATAGTAAGAAACATAATGAAAGGGCATCCAGACCAATATACTTTCTCTTAGCTTGTCCCACTAATTTTCCGTAATGTACTGGCAATGAGTTGAACTCCTACACCAACATCCCTGTGTGTTACGGGTTCAGAATCAAATGTTGGGAACTGAGATCAGTAAACATAGCTTGTACAGCTTCTATAACACTTGGTCCCATGTTCTTCCTTCTTATTTTTTTTTTCCTTTTTCCTGTTTTGATTTGATTTTTCAAAGCTTCACTGTCCCTGTATCTTTCATCTAACCAGGCCGAGAGAGGAGACAATGATACTAGCAAGAGCAAAGTCGTGACTTTGATGGAAAACTTTCAATGATACAAGACTAATCACACCTAAGACACAAAATCTTCAAAAAGGGATAGAATACAAAATCCATCAAAGTATTACTTATGCATTTTGCTTTTGATTCATGTATAAGACTACATTAAATAAATATAAGTGTTCATTGGAGGGAATTTCAATGGCTATATTGGGGCTAATGCTAGGAGTTGATGATGTGCATGGCGGGTTCGGTTTTGGGGATAGGAACTACGGAGGTACCTCACTGTTGGATTTCGCTAGAGCTTTTGATTTGGTTAGAGCTAACTCGAGTTTTCCAAAAAAGGAGGAGCACTTGGTCACCTTCCGAAGTTTGGTGGCCAAGACTCAGATTGATTACCTTCTCTGAAGGAAATGTGATAAAGGTCTATGCATTGATTGCAAGGTCATCCCTAGTGAGTACCTCACAACCCAGCATAGGCTCCTAGTAATGGACCTGGAGATCAAGAGGAGCAGGAGGAAGAGGGCGGTGTGCAGGCAACCTAAGATCAAGTGAGGTAACTTGACTAAGGACATAGCTCAGCAGTTAGGGGAGAGGTTGATGGCTATGAGGGCCCGGAGGAGTAGGGGAACGAGACTAGGATATGGACCACGAAAGCGAATTCCATTAGGGAAGCTGCTACAGAGGTCTTAGCGGTCGCGAAGGGTTATTCTGGGGCTAGGGGTCACAAAGGGGACTGGTGAAGGAATGTAGAGGTTCAAGGTAAAGTGGAAGCCAAAAAAAGGGTTTATTTGAAGCTAGTGGAGAGTACAGACGAGGAGGAAAAAAGGAAATATCACGAGTGTTATAAGAAGGCAAAGAAAGAGGCGAAGTTAGCAGTTACGGCAGCTAAGACCGCGACGCGTTTGGATGTCTGTACGAGGAACTTGGGGGCAAACTCGGGGACAAGAAGCTATACCGGTTGACCAAATTGAGCGAGATGAAGGCCCGTGACTTGGACCAAGTGAAGTGCATGTGCATCAAAGACGAGGACGGCAATGTATTGATGGACAAGGCACATATTAGACGAAGATGACAGACATACTTCCATAAGTTGTTGAACGAGGCGCAGGACAGAAGCATTGTGCTAAGTGAGTTGGAGCGCGCCAAGAGTCGGCGTGATTTTGGATATTGTAGGCATATTAAGATAGAGGAGGTGGAGGGGCCGATGCGTAAGATAAGCGGGGACAGAGCGATGGGACCAGACGAAATCACAGTGGAATTTTAGAAGAACGCGGGTCGAGCAGGCTTGAAATGGCTTACTGAGTTGTTTACTGTTATTTTTAAGACGAAGAAGATGCCCGAAGAATGGGGGTGGAGTACGATGATTCCGTTGTACAAGAACAAGGGTGATATCCAAAATTACAACAATTATAGGGGCATAAAGTTGTTGAGTCACACTTAAATTTTTAGATGATACAATTCACATAGTTCAAATGAGGGTCCAATTGTTCTCAAATTAGTCAGTAAAGCACATAGGAGTTTCTGTGTTGATAATAACATTCTTCCTTCAAGTTGATGTCATGCATCTACAATAATATCACTAGCAAGCAAAGACCTTCGTGAACCAACTGCTACCAAGAAATGTGATCCAAATCAAACAAAGAACACTAACCTCCAATCTAGTTCAAAGAGTTTACTTCAGAAAGAAAGAAAAAAAAAACTTCTATTACAACAAATTGAGCATGTTTTAGGCAGATATAAAAAAATAGATAGATGGCGCTATATTGAAGTTTCCAAAGAAGATGCTCTTCAGAAAATAAGTACTCCATATTTCTTCAGTGTTATGTGCTTGACCAAACGAATTACAATACGTGACTTGTTTTAACATAAAACACACACCTTAGTACCTACTCCTGCTGAGCAATCATTACCATAAGCCTACCTAAATGTTCGTTTCACATGTTTGAAAACATAAACACAAGATCTAGCAGACTACAAGCAGCTAGAAATAGTCAAAGGGAAAAGGCCAGGACTGAAACCTGAACTTGCAGTTGAAGTTGCTTCAGATACTCAATGGCTTCATCAAGCATAGATGCCTTGTCTGTCTGTGATATTAATAAAGCTCAAACATGACACAAAAGAAAGAAAAAACAATACACAGATAATTTTCAAAGGCTGAGGTATTGAAGAAATACTTTGTTAGAATTTGGGATTAGAGTCTGCAGTGCTTTCAGTTTCTCATTGATCCTACTCCTCCTCCTCTGTCACAAATTTGATCATGTATAATAATAATAACAAATCATGTATTTTAAACAGAAAATTTGCGAAATTCAAAATTCAAAATAGAAGCAAACCTTTTCGGATAAGTTATGAACTTCAGCAGATCTACTCCTCTTGGAGGAACGTGAATGATTCTGATTAGCTGGCATGTCAAGTCCATCGCATTCCTAAATAGATCTTAAAAGCACAGTATAACTGCGGACTCAACTTGAATCATTTTTTAAAAATAATAATAAAAAAGGAAAATGAAACAAAAAATTCACCTCGCTACTAAAACCGAAATTATCGACCTTGTCATCTTCGAGAAACTCTCTCCTATTAGCTGAATCCATGGCGTCACAATCCCCGAGGCCAGCTGAAGCAAACACATTCTCAACGCCTTCTTTAAACTCCGCCGCATAAAATCGGCCGGGATCGGAGAAATTGAGGTTAGATGATGAATCAGCCGCCGTTTCCGGCGCCGATCGGTGATAGAACCCAGCCGCAGCCGCTGACGTGGAAGCAGATGAATTTTGAAGAAAATTGAGGAAGAAAGAAGACATGTCTTCGGATTCGAGAGGTGAAGAAGAAGCGTGAGGGTGAGGGTTCGTTCTGTACGGATCCGCCATTGACAGTAACCACCATCACAAAGTGATCATTTGCAGAAGTGTAAAATGCGTGTTGCTTTGGGTTTGGGTTTTTTCAGTTTGCACGAAGTTTGACTATGGGAAGGACAACACTCCTCTTAATAGTGTGACTGGGAGATTAGTTCATGTTCTCCCGCCTTAATTACGTAATTTGCTTTGTTTTGAAAAATTACTAATGTTACTTTATCACCTGATAGATTATTAAATTACATATCACCTCTTTCGATTATGAGAATAGACAACGGAAACCCAGTAGTTTCATTTGTACCACTTAAGTCCCCTTTTTATTTCTTTCTTTTTAGTTTATGTTTAGCTTAGAATTTGGATCTGTTTGACCAAAAGATATCGAAACCTTTTTGATTAAATCAATTAATGAAGATGATGAGGTAAATCTTAGCAAGCATAATAAAATCTAGATCGAGTGATGAAAGAAATGAGCAAGATGAATGATGCTTCCTAGTATGTTGGAATCAAATGAATGCTCATAAGTGTGATAACTTTAAGTGCGCAATCAAACTTAATAAATGCGATTGGCTTGGATAAGAAATAAGGATGAGATGATTGCAGGAATCTGGATCCTTCCTCATATCGAACAATGATACTGATTTTCAGATGTGCAATCAATGAACAAGGTTGCCTTTGTATTTTCTCCCGGATGATTCTTTTACAAAGTGTTCTTTTGTCTTTTTTCGTCTGCCCCCTTTTCTTCACTGACTCTCCCTATTTATTTATAAGGGACAATCCCCTCTGAAACCCTAAAAAGGTACAACTTAGAGAATATTCGAAAAGCATATCCTTACTGTCTCCTACTAAGCTTACACTACCGCAGACGTCATGCATTAACTAACTACCCTTGGTCGTTGCCTTCTACCACGACGACCATCGGACGCTACACTATGATAACCTCGTTCCTCATCGTACTCAGTAGTGGTCGTGGTTGCCAAATTTGGACCTATACAGGATCTTAAGAAGATGATGAGAAATAGAGCGACGAGAATAAAAGAGCATGAAATCTTAGAAATTATAACGAGATCGTTCGAAATTATCCTATTCATTTTTATACCTCTCTCTAATAAAGAATTATTTTACAATCAATATTAGTTGATTTTTTTGGTTTAATCATGCTGTATATAGAACAAAATAGGTCAACTATTTTAGATTCGCGCCAAATACATCCACTCGGCACACCTAGGGAGTAAAGTACTTTCTATCAAAAAGTTCTTTATTTTCAAAACTTGAGAAATTTAATTAATGATGGAGAAATTCCAATCACCCCATATAAATATGAGTCAATAACTTCAATGGTTGCCTATCATCTTTTTTATGTAACTAATTCAATTCCGTGTGGAATGCAGAATGTTGATAGAAATTAGAGAATTTGTTAAATAATACTGGGAAAATAAAGTAAGCAGCAAGTAGTGAGACCCCTCTTCTTTGTGCATATAAAAGTGATTGTTTTAGATATCAAGATTGTGTTAAGAAGTGGTTGGAGAAAAGTTACAAAAGATCCATGTTGATTTCTGACAGAATGATGATCCCTTTGGATTTTAGCCAGCAACCCAAAATTGAATATGATTCTATTGAATGCATCAGTCCACCTTTCTTGTGATAACCTTATCCATTTGGATGCCAATAGTAACTGAAAAATTAATTTATATAACAACCAAGTTCTAGTCCCGAGGTCGGTGTCTTTGCTTCTTCTATTTGTTTATTTTATTATTGTTAATATTCGAGTTTTTTTTCCCTTGTCAAATGGGGTTGATTAGACTTGGTGCGAGGGTTCTATAGTCTATGTATACGGTCAAAATCAGAGGCTTTCGATTTACAGGACCGAAGATCCGTCATAGGCTCGAGTTCAGGCAAGGTCGGGTTCAAGACCAGTGAGCCAGAGGCAAGCTCGAAGACAGAGTGCAATGCCCGGAGATAGAGTTACGAGGAATACCAGGCCAGAGTATACTCGACCCCGAAATAGTACCATTGGAAATTTGTAACAGAATGAGCTAGATTCCTGCCACATCCCCATAATCGTGGTGCAAATCCCGGAACAAGATTGTATGATTCCGTACTAGGCGGTTAGACAGTTGTATCAGGAATATTCCCTACTGTAAATAGAAATATTCCTTATTTAGGGTTTCTGATAAGAGGCTAAATCTAGGTAATTTGGCGATTGTTTATGCTCCCACTTAGTTATATTCCGATGTCATAATGTGGTTAATTGATTAAAAATGGGCTCTAATTGTATACATTGCAGGATGAGGAGCCTATGTGATGCCTTAAAGAGGTGATTGGAACTACTTTAGAGCAAAAACAACCCCTCGGAGCTGAGTACGCACGAAGACGAGGAAAAAAAATCAAGTAAGGATCTGGGCTAGTGCGCCCAGGTGCGCGCCCGCGCTAATTTTAGCGCGCCCTAAATAGAACATATGCCAACTAGCGCGGTCAGATGCGCGACCGCGCTAGTCCAAATTCCGGAAAGCGTTTGTCAGGGGTATAATTAGAAATCTGGAGGAAACCCCACTTAACCTATATAAAGTCAAGCTCGCCCAAGGATTATTTATCAAGGTTTTCATAATCTAGTGGAAGAAATAGAGAGGCAAGAGGCAAGGAAGAGATTTAACCATCAATTTCTTCTTTTCTTCACTTGATTTTTGCTAATTGTGATGAAATTGAACCTTGTTGTGATGAACATGAGTATGAGTGGCTAAACACCCATTGTTCTGGGGTTGTGATTTAGCCATGAATATTGTAGTTTGATATTAGCTTGACCTTGATTATAATTCACCAATATATGGTTGTTTCTTCAATTATGTGTTTAATTGAATACTTGTCTAGCCAACAGTTAGGTTCTATTTACTATCTATGCTATGCTTGGGAAAGCCATGTTTAGATTAGAGAAGAATTGAAAAGAGCATGATCTTAACCCTTAGGAGGAGCGGATTTGTGGTTAGGATAGGAATATACCTAGTCACCGTGCTTAATTAAATATCGTAATCTTAATGCGTTCTTAATAGATTGATTTCATAGGAATATAGGCGTTAATCTATTGAGAATAGGTGAGTAGTACTTCGGGAGAAGGCTATGAGAGCATTTATCGATTAATTAGCAACCATGAGTGAATTATATGAAAGAGAGAGTTAATTAGAACACAATACGAATGGTGAATAGATCACAACCCTGGAATACTTATCTCTACTGAATACACAACAATCAATTCGTTACTTGAAAATTTAGTTTTTACTTAGAATCGTAGTATAATATAATCATATCATTGGACTTTGATTTTAGCTGGACTGAATAGCAATTTTAGTAATTCCGTGAGTAGTTTACACAAGTCTCTGTGGGTTCGACACTTAGCTTATCATTATATTACTTGTCGACCACGTATACTTGCGTGTGCGTTTGGGAGCAATAGTTTCCCTATTATATAAAGGGACTCCAATCATTTGTAGGATCATCTTACCACTGAGCAAAGAATATACTCTCTACTTTTTCGCCTACTGTTCATCAGCATTGTCCTTTAGCTCTATTGTTGTTACTTTACTTTTATTATTTAACTGTTCTTATTCCAAGCCTACCTCGAGGTCACCGAACTCGAGGTCACTGCTGCTAAGTAACTTTGGTCTGATTCACTTCTCTCTTTCATTTCTACTTCAAACTTCTTAATCATTAATTGGTATTGAACTAAATCACGTATTTTTAAAACCACAAATCAAATTTAATTGTTACTTGTATTTTCGAGGTAAACAATCTATGGTCTACATAGGTATAATTATGGATTTAGGCAGTCAACATGGTTAAGTGTTGGTTTGGACTTTGGCAAATTCATGAAACACCCCCTCTCGTAATGGCAGAAAAAGTGAAGGGACGTTGTCAACTTTCTTTGTCGCCAATTAATTTATCTTTAGTTATGGTCTGTTTTCCAACAAGTGGCCATAGTCAAATGCTTGTTCTGCTCGCCATCTACCCTAATATTTATTTTCATATCTATACTAATAATCAATTGGCTGCCAATTGTATGCTTATTTTACCACTTACAAATCCTATTAAAAGTAGTATCAATTATGTAATGCGAACAAACGAATACGTTACGTCTCTCTATACTTTTCCTCCTACTGGCCCAACTACTGTGCTAGTTGCGCACTGTGGCCAACAAGCTCACCTTTTAAGTAATTTAAAGTCCTGTTGGGGGCTCTGCCATATTCGTTTCTTAGATGTTAGGGTAATGCCGATCTAAAATTATACAGTTTACTATTGTTCGTCGTGTCTTAAAATGAAATGAGTTCAACTAGTCTGCCAAAAAGAGTTAGTAGAAAAATTGGTTTGATAAGCTAATGATGCAATGACTAAAATTATAATTGATGGTATAAGCCATATGTTGTTAAAAACATAAACATAACACTAGTCCTTTTCTCTTTTCCTTCTTTAAGGTGGTTTGGTTTATGGCTCAGGCTGAAAAGGACAAAACAATTAAGACATGAACTTTTATAGCATTGACCAGGACCTGTCAAAGCAGATTAGCCTCTGCCATAGATTTTGGCTTCATTTTTCCAAAAAAAAATTAAAAACATTATTTGTTTTATGAAATATTATCATGTTTTGAAAAGAAAAAAAATTCAAAAATTTTCAAGTTCCCAAAAACTAATTTAGGACAATTTTTGAGTGAAATCCACTCACGAAAATTCAACTTTTCTTCAAATAAAATGTATGTCCAAACACAAACTTCAACTTTTAAAAATTATTTTTCAACACAACTTTAAAAACTCTTTTTTCAAGTTTCAATCAAATCTATGTCCAAACTCTAGCTAGATCTTTCACCAGCAATTCACATAGTACTTATCTCCATATGAGGTTTATGCTAGGTGGCATGAGAACCATTCAGAGGTGTAATTTAATGCATTTAGGAGATATAACATACTAAGAAGTAAGAAGAGGCAGAAAATGAAGCAAGTATATTAATAAATTGGAAAGGTTGAATGTAAATCTCAAAATGGAGTAACCAAATAATGTAACTCTTGCCTAATGAATCCCTAATGTTGCTAAAGCTTCTAGCTCTAGAATAACTTCCTCCAAACGGAGATCACAATAAAATTATTGAGAAAAATACACAGATC